GTTTGAAAGTCATTTAAAATGAAATTCTAAGAAGAAATAGGACATAGATAAGGCAGTGTAAACCAGTTACCATTTTTAAAAATTTTTAATGTTTATTTGTGAGAGACAGAGGCAGAGCACTAGTTGGGGAGGGGCAGAGAGAGAGAGGGAGACACAGAATCTGAAACAGGCTCCAGGCTCTGAGCTGTCAGCACAGATCCCAACGTGGGGGCTTGAACTCAGGAATGGCAAGATCATGACCTAGGCTGAAGTTGGACGCCCAACCAACTGAGCCACCCAGGCACCCCCAGTTACTATTTTTAAAATAGTAATAGTTTTGGGAATAGCAGAAAAGGAAAAAGATAATCTCATCTTTGTAAAAGTCAAGTTTTCCCTGTTATAGAAGCAGCACAGACGCCTCATACAAGAACATGATAGCTGCAGGGGCTTAGATCAAAAGGCAGTCAGAAGCCTGACCTCCTGCTAAATCCGATTGTATCTGATCTCATAAACAAGAAGACACTGAGGCTGGATGTCACAGACCTGATTAATTTTCAAGTAGGGCAAATACAAACAGGGAAGACTGATGCTCTTATTTTCCTAATTAACTCAGATGATTCATGGTGGGTTAATAGCCGGGATCTCTACTCTTCCATCACCCGGATGGGCAGGCGCTTGCTTTCCGAGAAATGATCTGACAATTAAGATGCACAGGGAGTGCCCTGAGAAACCTGATTTTTAAAGGGCTGTGCTTCTAACGCTAGGGTTTTTACTTGGACAGATCCTCACTCTGTCCCAGCTCCATACAAAAGAAATAGGCAGATTGATATGTTCACAGTGTGGCTTTCCAAAGGCACAGAGGGAAATATTAATGCTAGTTTGTTAACAGTTTCCACGTAAAGATTAATTTAAATGACAATGCTCTGTGACATGAATAAACAGTATTGGGATCTGAGAGACATATTATTAACCTTCATTTGCCTTTAACATTTCTAAGAGACATAAAGGACTAAACTGTTTTTGAAAAAAGTGGCAGAATCTGGATATCAGGTACCATCTGTACGTGTTTTTGCTGCTTTAGGAGACGAGTGGATGTTCTTTCTGCCAGTCTCTCGAATTCCGGGTGTTGCTCAAAAGATTATGTATCTTAAGCCAACATGTTCGTCTCCGGGGACTTCAGCATGCAAAGACCCCTTTTTCTACCTGCATAACCAACACGTTTGTTGAGAATAAACAGGGCCAGGCCTTGACATTTTCCAGCTTGTTATCTGTTTAATTTTCCATCTGCTTCTTTTGCCACTGCCTTCCAAAGGAACATCTGCTGCACATCCCAGAGAAGGAAAGGGAGATTGAATCCATGCCACCTGGGTCTGCAGGCCTAAACCTTGGGATTCAGATGAAGGGAAGGAAAGAAGACTAGCAAATGGTCCAGAAAAGTGAAATGAGGACAAACAGTCTGTTAAGAACAAAGCTTTATTTCCATTTATTGCAGAGCCCACATGACCAGACCGGCCGGACAGCAGTGTCTGCCACTGGCAAGGGCGAGAGGCAGGGGGAGGCAGCCTGTGCCTGGGGGAAGGCAAGAATAGTTTCTGTTGCCCAGGTATGCCCCTTGGTGCCTGAATCTGCAGGTAGTGTCCAGTTGTTCACATACCCTTTAAGCAAGCACCCTGCTATGAGCTGGGCTTTGTTCTGGACATTCTGGAGGCAGAGATGATTATAAGATATATTTCCTACCTTTATGGGTTCTTACAAATATTTGTTTATTTATTTTGAGAGAGGGAGAGAGAATCCAAGCAGGCTCCGTGCCATCCCTGCAGAGGTCGACATGGGGCTCATTTCCATGAACCATGATATCATGACCCGAGCCAAAATCAAAAGTCAGAAGCTACACCAGTTGGGCCACCCAGGCATCCCTTATTTCCTGCCTTTAAAGTACTTGCCTAGGATATGGGAGATGGGTAAATAGACAGCAGATTTTAATATACAATGATAAATTGTATGTTAGCCATTTCCTCGGGCTGGGAACACTGAGAAGGGAAAGGAAATGTGCTGAATCCCATGAAGCAAAGTGGTAGTTCAAGGAAAGGAAAGCTCTACCCAAATGGTGCCATGAGTAGAGTCTGGAAGAATAAATAGGAATATTTGAAAACAAGCTCTTTTTACTCCTTATGATCCAGGGGTGGTAGCACATAGCAGCCAGTCTTTGTATTGACTCAAAGAAGTGAATCCCCCAAAGCCTTAAACCCACCTACCACCCCCCTCAATGTCAAAACATCAGTTATTCACAGTGTACTAGCTGGTTGTGCCATCTCTTAATGTTATCCAAAGAGTTACTAGTAGGATAGCGAACTCTCATCAGAGAGGGATAGATGCCTCAGTATAAAAATCACTTCTTAATTGGCTGCCATGGAATAGCTAGTTGTCAGGTTTTAACTGTCCTTAAGTATTAAACTCAAACATCACCAAAATCTCAATATGTGAAGACCACAATAGCTAATGCAATAAATTTTTAGATTTAGGAGTTTCTGTACAATCAAATATTGAGTGAGTATCTGGTGTGAGCACCATGAGGCACACAGAAGAGTAAGGCATGACTTTTGAGTCTACGAGCTAAAATCTGATTGCAATAATATGCAGTTCGTTCTATCATTCTGACATGGCAAATGCTTAACATTTAACTGAGGAAAGAACGAGGCTAACGTGATAATGCATTGCTTGGTAAATGTATGCTTCCTTCACCTTCCAGGCTGTCTACAAATAAGTGTAAAACTTCATAGCTTGCTTTGGATTAGTTGCGGTGTATACTGAGATGCAAATGTAATTGGCATAGTCTCTGACTACACCATTACACTATTGAGGCATTTTAATAAATTTTGTTTTATTTATAAAAATGTATTAATACATTTTATTTTTTAAAAAAATTGCTTTCACGGAATGGAAATGACCTAGGATAAAGAATCAAGCACACGCCTTTTTTTCTATCACAGTTTCTTCTCAAAAGAAGGTTTTTCTCACTTTATTATTATCATTTTTTAATGTTTTATTTATTTCTGAGAGAGAGAGACAGAATGAACAGGGGAGGATCAGAGAGAGAGAGGGAGACACAGAATCCGAAACAGGCTCCAGGCTCTGATTTAGCTGTCAGTACAGAGCCCGACGCAGGGCTCGAAGCCACGAACGATGAGATCATGACCGGAGCCAAAGTCAGACGCTTAACTGACTGAGCCAACCAGTTGCCCCTTTCTTGGTTTAAACAAACACATTGAGAAACAAGTTTTTGAAGTTTTTATTGCTACTAGCTAGCAAGCTATTTGATAAAACTAAATATGTGGTGTGTTTTTATCTTGAATCAACTCACAGAAACTCTTAGGTTATTATAAGCCTGTAATATTGTGGTTTATGGTTAGTTTCTTAGATGGAGTTTAAAGGCATGAAAAATTTTAAGTTTCAAATCAGATCATTAGATATGTAGATAAGAGAATTTCCTTTGTTCACCTACAAGAATGCACTTAAAGGGGCGCCTGGGTGGCTCAGTTGGTTAAGCAGCTGACCTCGGCTCAGGTCATGATCTCGCGGTCTGTGGGTTCAAGCTCTGCATTGGGCTCTGTGCTGATAGCTCAGAGCCTGGAGCCCGTTTCAGATTCTGTGTCTCCCTCTCTCTCTGTCCCTCCCCAGCTCGTGCTCTGTCTCTCTCTCAAAAATAAATAAAAGTGTTAAAAATTTTTAAAAAGGAATCCTCTTAAAAAGAAACTGATATTTGAAGCACTTTATGATTTCAAAATAGGAACAAAATGAAGATTTTTATGGCATTAGGTAGTTCTACTATCAGAAGAAAGTTTCAAAGTAATTTCCATCAGGAAGCCACAATCCAATATTTCCTAATTTAGAGTTGATAGAAACACAGACTATTTTGAGTTGGAATGTATGCCTGAGTTATAGTCTGATTTGTAAATGAAAAAACTGAGACCCAGAGAGATTAAATAACTACATCTTGGTTTTTCTGAGTTTCTAATCATGACATGAGACATCTCGGCACATCATGACTTCTGGCATTATCTTGTCATGGTCGCTCCTTTCAGTTTTGTGTTTTTAACCATGAAAAAATAATCCCGGGACAGAGCTAGATAAATCTGATTCTTAGCTGAACTTGTATTTATCATTCCCACCCAATACTCTAGAAAATCCAGTTTAGCTGGCTGGTCTCCTGACACGAAAGAGTGGTTCTGGCATTTTTATTCCATGCCATCCTGATTTTCTTTCCTTTCTTGGTTCTCCCTGAGATTGTAGAAGACAAGAACAGCAGGTAGCCCCATGCAAGCCCACCTGTCTTCCAAAACTGAACTTGGCAAGTATAGCTATTCCATATGCAATGATCTGCAGGTAGACTCGGTGCTGTTAGAAGGAATGGTGCTTTGTGGCATTTAGATACAAATGAGTTTCAGGTACGTTCCTGAGGGAGGCACGTAAGCAGACTTAGTAAACTGTTTAAATATTCCATGCCTAACATTTTCTGAATTTGGGGATAACTACACATAATTTCCTTTGGCTTCAGTATAATACAGATTAGGCATAATAAATACATCAAGAGGGAACTAAGCCAATTGCTGAAACGTGACTTCATTTAGTTGATAGTGGAGAAAATACACGATGGCGTGGTCATTACTTAAATGAAGCACAGAACAAACTCTGAGTTAATCACATGCCACCTTTCCCCGGCCCCCAGAGAATATTCTTTTCCTTTCCTACATATGTCTGTTCCATACTTCTACCTGTTTTGTCCTTTTTCCTTTTATTGATGCAAGTGCAGTGGGAGATGAGCTAGACATTCCTGTTGTCTCTGCGGATCTTATATTCAACTTCTGGTGGATGAATAGAGCTGTCTCAGCCTCCAGGGCCAACATGTCTTTCTTTGTTTCTTTTCGAGGATTAATATGAGGCTGCTGGACCCATGGGGGAAAACGATTCCTGGATATTTTTCCTTCCCGTACTTGTAACTACTTTTGCTTGGTCATCTTTAGGACTATCAAGAGGCCTCCAACTTGGAACAATTTGTAACTCGATTTTTATTGAAGGAGACCTTGAATCAGCTCCAGTCTCTCCAGAATTCTCTGGAATGTGCCATGGAAACTACAGAGGAACAAACCCGTCAAGAAAGGCAAGTTAAATATTTTCATATGGTGTCTGGTTACTTATTGTGAAATACCAGTTGAGGGACATTCATGCTTAAATGAGTGAAAACTAAAAATGAGAATTAGTAAATTTAAATAGAATGACAGGAACCTCCATTGGGTGCTTGCCTTATATTAGCCTCTACAAGAGACCATTCTATTTTTACTGTCCATCATTTATTCAACAAATTTAAATTGAGAATTTAATAGATGGGGAAACCTTTAAAAGACACTGTAATAATGTAAAGATACAGTTTACAAAGTTCTGACTTTTCAGGAGGCTAAAATCTAACACGTAAGTAAGACATGAAGAGTAAAACCGTAACACAGGATGCAAAGTGGTACATGCCATACAGAAGGCAAAATAACTTGCCAAGGATTCAGGAAGAGTAAAAGGTTAAATATGGAGAGAGAGAGAGGAAAGACAATTTCATGGAATTTTCTGACCATATGTAGGCTCATCTCGCAAATGAGCATTATGTGAAAATGTGGAAGTGATAGAAAATAGACTAAGAGGCCAAATGAACTTGTATGTACCCGGGGACTTGGGAATAGAATCAGCCTTTTTATTTAAGAAAACAGAGAAAAGTGAATGGTAAGAAATGTTTTCAGAATTCAAGACCACCAAGTAATATCACGGAGAAGATAAGTGATGAGATTATAAAAGCTATATAAATAAAGGTGCTAATGCTAAAGAGAAACCTGAATTAGAAATGTGTAAAGCAGACGTCAAAATTACTCCAACCAACAGTTGGTACTTTCTTGAGTTGCCATTGTTTATACCTTGCAAGCTCGAGAAGGGCTTGGCAAAACTCGTGCTTATGCAACACATTTTTGCATGTGTTACTTCAAACCTATACATGTGATGATCTAACTTTTTGCATTTGAAGTTAGGGAGAATCACACAGCAGCTTTTTTGAATAGCCTGATGATAATGGACTACTCAATAGGGCCAATTTTTCTAAACAAATTAATGGATACATAATTATTAGGACATCTCGAGTAATGGTGGCATTTTCAACCATGTGTTTACAATGTCAAAATGAGTGAGCACCACCAAATTCTGACAAAAAAGACTCTAATCTCCAATCTAATGAGCTTGTGCAGCTGATGAATGTTGGTGTCCGCTCTTCAGTGGATCTGTGGAGCATTCTCACATTATAAACTCATTTCCACTGCACTGAATGAATCCATCTCAAATGGCAGGTATAACCGACAGCTTTAGAGAAGCAGCAGGCCAGTTCCTTAGGTGTGAGCAGAGGATAACAGAGTGTCTTGAAACACAGTGATACTGATTTCATGTTCCAAACGGGAAATGAGGTTGGTTTCTTTGTTGTCTTTAGATTTTCTTGACGTATAATAGATCCTCCCTTTTTAGAATCAATTATTAGCCTACTGAGAAGAGACTTACAAAAGTGCTCCACTTCCCGTCTTCACCTGCATTTTGGGTTTTGTCTATTGTCAGCTCCTACAAACTTGGGTTCTACATTCACTGCTATATAGCAAATACATAACGAACAGCTGTTTTTGGTGCCAGGCCTCAGGCTAGCCTTGACCCCCTGTGAAAGCTACCAACAGCTGCAGCTGTGTTTAATGAGAAAGAATGTGATAATGCAGAACTTAAAGAACACAGAAGGCATTGGAGGACTAACTGATATTTTATTTATAGGTTTCTAGCTCAAACAGAGCTTGGAAGAATAAACACTATTACAGGTCTGATGTAAATCTGGGGAGTGCTATTGTGCGGTATTGATTAAGGTACCTAGGGATGCCCACCTCCCACCCCAAATCCATGATACTCCTCCCAGGGAGGTTTTCAGTAAACAAAAATAAAATAAAAAGCAAATGAAAAACTAGTTTCCTCTATGAGTTTTTGCCCATAAATCCAACTTGAAATCTCTGGTGACCCTGACGGAAGAGTATAAATTACGCTCATGCTTAAAATGCTGTGTCCCCTCTCTCTAGCTTCATCTTCCAGTCGCTGGCCACCAGAAACCAAAGCAAGGAGAACCCCAGGGGCCCTCACAGGTGGGGAAAAAACAGGGCAGGAAAGATGGCTCTCCTTTTCCTATGATATTAAACAAAAGACCAGTAAATAAGCCTCATAGGAGACAAGACTCGAACGGGATCTTTAGGGTAGATTTAATGGCAGAAAATATTCTCCCTGGAGGTCTTCTCAGCCACCCCATAGTACCCTCTTCTTCCTTCTGGCTGGGTCTTCCCCATTTGCTTGCTCACTGCTTGGAGCACTTGCTCTGGGAAAGCTTCACTGCTCTCAGAAGAGGACTTTATACCTCCTGCTGCACCGCTGTGTCTTCCTCAGTACCCTCTTCTTAGCTGTACCTGCAAGCCCAGTCCTTCACTTATCTGTCCTGTTAGACTTGGAGTTTCTAAATGACAGGGCTCTGCCTTGTTTCCCTCTATCTGCCACAACTAAATGCTGAATATATGAAGCTGAATGAATGAAAGGGAATCCCAAGTAAAGGGAACTATGTAGAACAGCAGTGGATGAGGGCCTGGGGCAGTGAAAGTAACCTACCTGGCATGTAAGGTTAGGGAAGGTCTTAAAAGCTAGGTAGCTATATTTAGATTTCATATTATCAGAGATTGTCTTAGTGGTTGTAAATGAAGGGTTTTTTAAAAAAATTTTAATGTTTTTATTTATTTTTGAGAGACAGACACAGAGCACAAGTGGGGGAGGGGCAGAGAGAGAGGGAGACACAGAATCTGAAGCAGGCTCCAGGTTCCAACCTGTCAGCACAGAGCCCAGTGTGGGCCTAGAACTCACAAACCATGAGATTATGACCTGAGCCAAAGTCATATGCTTAAGTGACTGAGCCACCCAGGTGCCCCAGATTTCAAGGAATATTCTAGTCTCATAACAGTATATACTAAAGATTTGGGAAGAGTTAGAGCTAGGTCAGAGAGGAGAGGTCAAATCAATGTACCTCAGAACTCACCAGTTTTTTGTAACATAAAGGAGGAGTCCATGATACCCCGCATAGTCAACAGTTGTAACCTGCAGAGAGCATTAAAAATCCCAGAGTTATAATAATTTGCTTCCCCTTAAACATCAATATTACTTTGAGACTTAATATTTCTGAAACCTAGGGATATAAAACCTCTTTGGAATATAGCAAATTTTGAGAAGGGATCTAGTCTAGTTATCACCCCAGGGAGGAATCACACCGTATCAGTCATCCTGCAGTAATGAGTTAGACATGCAGTGCTGGGCAGAACGTCTGTGTCTATTCATGGGAAAATGGCAATTTCAGAGAGAAGGGATGCGTATAGCTGGAATGCCACAGAGGTGAGATTTTCAGATGGTGTTCTACAATATTCTTTGTATCCGTCCTGACATACTGGTAAATGGGCGCCACTTTAATTCCATGTCTTCTGAAGGCACCTAATAGCCAGTGACAAGAATAATCATTATGTGACACTGAAGCTTCCCTCTAGAGGTTTCTGTCCTTTTATATAAACCTCCATTCCTCACAGACCAGATTTCTGGGAACACAGCTTAATTATATGTGAATTTATTTTTATAATGGAATATGAAAATTTACTCTATTTTCCAAAGTTCTTCTTTATCCAGAGCAATACCTTAAAGGTACCAAGAGATGGTGCTCATAATGAATAGGCCTGGAGAGGCCACTCTACAGTGGAGGCTGTGAGTTGGCAGTTGCCACCACCCCCTCTCCCTCTCCCACTCCCTCCTCCTCCCTCCCTCTCTCCTCCTCCTTCCTCTCTCTCTTTCCCTCTCTCCCTCCCTCTCCCTCTCTCTCCTCCTCCCTTCCTCCCTCCCTCTTTCTCTCACTCCTTTTTCTTCTCTTTTGTTTCTTTTCTCTGAAATAGCCAGGGACAACCAAAACAACAAATCAAACACAAAAAAAAAGAAACTTAGAAGAAACAGATGTAATCCAGAAAGCAGAAGACTGTCTCAGAAGATCATCAATGCCTTCAGAAAGCAGAGAAAAATATTGCATTTATGAATTAAGGAAATGATACTACTCTATTTTTATTTTTTAAGTTTATTTATTTTTGAGAGAGAGAGAGATAGTGTGAGCAGGGAAGGGGCAGAGAGAGAAGGAGACACAGAATCTGAAGCAGGCTCCAGGCTCTGAGCTGTCAGCACAGAGCCCTGTACGGGGCTCAAATTCAAACTGAGAGATCATGACCTGGGCTGAAGTCAGCCTCTTAACCTACTGAGCCACCTATGCATGCCGGAAAGGATGCTACTTTAAGAATAATAATATTCAAAGCACACAAAGAGTTCTTGGAAACTATGATTGCAGAAATAAGAACCTTTGGTCAAGATTTGGAGATAAAAGTGTGATGACATTTTCACAAAGAGATGAAAAATAAGAAACAAACAAAAAATAATAAAGCTATAGGGTAGTCTAAGAGGTCCAATATTTGAAAAGTAGAAATTCCAGAAAGAGGAAAAAAGGAGAGAAATTATCTAAGAAATAATCCTCAGAACAAGGACACGAGTTTCCAGGTTGACAGAACAGAGTAAGAGCCCATTACAATGAATTGTAAAATCTGACACCAAGGCATGTCATTGTGACATTTCAGAATACCAGAGACAAAGAGAAGTGTCTAAAATCTCCCAGACCAAAAACTAGGTCAAATACAGAGCATGAATAAGATACTAGATTTTTTTAAATAATGGCACTGAAAGCTAGAAGGCAATGAGACAGCCTTTTCAAAATTTGAAGAGAAAATGATTTGCAACCTAGAATTCTTACTCTGACTTGTGGCAAAGATGGCAGAGTAGAAGGCTCCTAGGCTCACATAGTCCCATGGATACACCTAAATAACAGCCACATAAGTGCAGATAACCTAGGAAATGACCAGAAGACTGACAGAACAGACTTTCCCCAACTAAATGGAAAGAAGAGGCCACATTGAAAGTGGTAGGAAGGGTGCAGATACGGCCATGAACCGCATAGACCCACTAGACTGTGGTGGGGAGGGACGTTGC